TGGTAAGCGACATTGTACTGCACGGATTGAGAAGTGTCACCGCGCTGTGGAGATGACGAACTCCCCGAGAAGCAAGTATTACTTTGGCTTTGGGATGTTTAGAATGTGTGATGATAATACGGCGTTTGAATGTCTTGCAAATATTGTCCGAGTACGGGGAGAGCACAATGGTGAGTCGCCTTTCAATGCACCGATATCTTCCCACCTCGGAGGTAAAATATTATGCAGGTTGGCAAAGTTAATGCGGCCGAATGATTTCAATTTGCTCGTGTCGAAGCTCAGGGATTATCTCATGTCCGAAAATTTTGGGAAGTGTGCCGTGTTTGCGTTTTTGAATGGGGCTTTCGTGGCTGCAGTAAGGCGCAAACTGAAGGAGCTGAGGCCACCAACACGACGTCAGCCACGCCGCTGTGCGCTGGAGGTGTTATTCGCAGGAGCGCCTCACCAGGCACTATTTTTTGCCGTCGATGGAATACCGTTACGAGAAAATTGATGTGGAGCGCGGAGTGCTGTAAATAACGGAGGCCGAAGGCTTTCCGCTGGAGGACGCCTTTTCTTTGTGGACTCAAATCCGGTGACGCTGTTTGGGCTGCGGATGGCTACGGCGGGTGGGCACCACACCACCGCCAGCACTGTGAGGCAGTTCACTGAGTGCCTGGCGGCGTATTTTAATTGTTGGGAGGAATCATCTCGAGACATGTCGTGGGAGATTATTTATGTGCAGCACGCAGACAGCACGCCGATGAATGACTGGCGGAGATGTGATGTCGTCAATTCCAATAATGTGAGCGACGATGAAGGCCGTGAAATAGCGGCATTTTGGAAGGAAGAGGTGCGCCCGTACCAAGTGTCAATATCGTCCGGAGGATTTAGAAGAGACGAAGCACTCCGAAGTGTGTAGGAACCGTCGAAGTAGGAAAAAAAATTAGGGAATGAAAGGGGCAATTTTGTTTTGTGGGAAAGAAATATTGTGGGAGTTATATATTTTTGGATATTTTTTTGTGTGCATACGGTGCAGGTGCACCAGCACCAGGTGACAGTGTTACAAAAAGATGTCAAAACTGTCCAACGCTATCGAACATAACAGTGACAGAAGAAATTAGGGAGGGAGTGGGGTTGATTGGTTTCTGGTGAAAAACATTGGGTGATTTCTATATGGTATGTTGATTGTGTGTGTGCACAAGAGGCATAATTGGAGAATTGCCCCGGTATGAGGGAATCATTGTGGCTGGCGGTGTCGCAGTACCACTGCATTTTCCATTTTTTTCTGTTGTGTTCTAAGGCCCATCACTAACAGAGGCGTCTTTAAGGGATGGACGAAGGATAAGTTCTATTGGGGAAATGGTGCATTCCGTGTGGCTGCATGGAGTGAGTGCCGCATCCCATTGATGGTGAGACGGCATTTTCGTGCTGGTGCCAACATTGCTTCCTCTTGCGATTTCATGCTTGACTGCTTCATCGTGGCGCCAGAGCCGGTCGCCCTGTATTATCCGGGGAAGCCAAGAGCCAGCAATGCTGCCCTCATGGAATTGTTGTTGCTGACGCAGGGCTGACGGCATCGACCAGCGCCCGGACCAGCCGCGTATTACTGGGGCACACAGTTGTAACACCACGAGGTCTGGGGGCAGGTGTTGCCGTGCCGTCTGCGGTCCATCGGATTTGTTTGAGAGAACACGAGAAAAAACATAATAATGATAAATTGCTCTACGCCCTTACACGCTCTCCACCCCTTTTTCTTTTGCCTAGCTTCTCACACCAACAGCGACCATGGCGAAGCCGAAACTTCTGACGCTGAGGCGTAAGCTGAAGCGAGTTGCCGTGCTGCTGATTCTCTTCATTGTGGCCACGACTGTTCTGACCCTCAGGTTCGACACCGCTGCCGATGATGGGGCGCCGGAGCCCAACAACCTCCGCCACTCGCATGCCACCGCGGCGGAAGATGCAGCACTTGCTCACATCCCACGCAGTGTTGTGGACACGTGGAGCCGGCGGGAGTACCTGATTGTGCTGGGCGTTCCCTCCATTGACGAAGAAGCGAGGCGAACGCAACGCAACCTGCAGCGGTCGACGTGCTGGCGGTTCCCCGGAGTGGCGACGAGGGCGAACGACTTCACCGGTGCATTGCTCGTGCTGTACGTTATTGGGCGACACCCGTCGCACGGATATGACTACTCTGCCGCGATGCTGGAGGAGGCGGCACAGTGGAACGATGTGGTTGCGCTGCAAATGAACGAGGGCCTCGTGACGACTAACAAAACAGTTGGCCACTACGGCTTTTTTGGAGCTGAGGCGAATGTCGGTTTGAGCCGCAAGGTGTACATGTGGTTCGACCTTGCGCTCCGTCTGTTTCCGACCGCGAGGTACATTGCGAAGGGTGATGACGATATTTTTCTTCGTGTGCCGCTGTTTGTTGCTCACCTGCGCCTCCTGCCGCGCCGAGGGGTCTACATGGGATACCACATTGGTGTCGCCCAGTTTGCGAATAAGCGCTTCCCGGGTAACACTTTTATGTTTGGCTGGTGCTTTACTTTGTCGAGGGACGTGGCGGAGGCGTTGGTGTCGTACAAGCCTCTGAGGCGCCTGGCGTACCTGCCGTACAGCGAGGAACGTGATCACGAGTTTGCACTGCTTCAGTTTCACAGTGACGACGCCATGGTTGGTTGGGTTCTTGAGAAGGAACTGAACTACAAGCCGATGGTATACGTGAAGATGCTGCCCTGTCATTACCATGACGCCCGCGATGACACCGGGCACTGGCAGGTGGTGCCGACCTCGATGTGTGTCCATCATGTGCGGGGGGACGACTACGCCGCGCTCATGGCGCGCTTCGGCAACGACACATCGCCTGTCGCCCGTGTGGAACGGTACTCAGAAGACGTGATATACCCCTGTTGCGATTGAAAAATGAAAGAAATGGATGTTTTTCTGTGCGTGTTGAATCTTAAGGTATTGCTTGATTGGTTGCTGCATCCCGGTTTGTGCCCTATGTGCTCTGTGGCCTAACGACGTGGGATGTGTCATTGACCGCTCAGCGTCCCTGTGGAGCGTTCCACTCCCTGCCCTCGACCCGTTGGCGGGAGGAGAGAGTGGAGCCAGTGGGCGCCCGCTGCGTTGTGCCGCGGGTGTGCTTCTGCTGGGAGCACGCGATGAGAATGTGCGTGTGTGGGCCGGGCCGCCAATGAACGATGTATGTGGGTTTTTTTTCTATCCTGTGGTTTTGTTAATTGTGCGATTGGGAGATGGAGGGGATTCAGTTTTTTTTTTTTTGTGTGTGCGTTGCTTGTTTCGTCCTTTCCACTCCTGAGCCCTCACTTTTTGGTGGGTGGTTGCGGTTGGGAGCGGTTGGGGACTTATTTTCGTGTGTGTTCGTGTGATGTCTTTGTTAACGGAGCGTCCCACGGTGCGACTGCTGCCAGTGCTGGTGGTGAGGCTCCCGGTGTGGGGAGAGTGCGTGCCGTGACGCCCTCCCCGCCGCTGGTGTACCCAGAGGGCGGGGCAACGCCACTGGCCCACGGCCCCTGCTTGCTGACGACGCAGCTGCCCCTCTCTTTTTTCTCCTGCTTTTGTTCTTTTGTGGCAGTGTGCGCAGGGTAGGGGCGGCGCGGCCGTGCTTGCGACGTGTGCGGAGCGGCGCTGTGCGGGCCGGGCGACGGTTGCGCGCCGATGGCACGTGCCGCGGTAGGGGCGAGTGCGAGCTGGCGTCTGTGGCTTCTCCCGAGGAGGACGCCGCGGGGCCCTCTCCTTTGCGCCCCACCCGCGGCCATGCGAGTGTGGTGTCGAGTCCACCGACTGGAGGGAGAAGGAGCTGCTGCGCGGGCGGACGGGGATCAGACGACGGGTGGACTGTCTGCTGGGCGGCGGGCCTGCGGTGGCTCCCTGCGTCGTGCGGGACGCTCCTGGTCCCATCCGAGAGAAGTGCGCGCCGCTTCTTGTGGCGACGGTGTGTGCGGCGTGCTGGGCGGCGCACCGGTTGTTTGTGGACGACACCTTCGTTTGGTGCGTGTTCTCGCGGAGGGCGTTGTTGGTGGTGGATGCCAGCAGGAGCTGTGCGCACTGGCAATGCGGGCTACTTCATCGTGGTGCCAGAGCCGGTCGCCCTGTATTATCCGGGGAAGCCAAGAGCCAGCAATGCTGCCCTCATGGGATTGCTGTTGCTGATGCAGGGCTGACGGCATCGACCAGCGCCCGGACCAGCCGCGTATTACTGGGGCACACAGTTGTAACACCACGAGGTCTGGGGGCAGGTGTTGCCGTGCCGTCTGCGGTCCATCGGATTTGTTTGAGAAAACACGAGAAAAAGAAAAACATATTGTGTACGCGTCCTTCGGGCGTGAGACAGTTTCATGGGTGGTTCTTTTTT